GCACGGCCTTATGTCTTCGTCGTCCAGTTGGGTTCTTGGCCCAGTCGATAAAGCTCCAGGTTGTGGCAGCTGTGGTTTGCTTGTTTTTTTAGATGTTTAGGTTTTGTATGTGTGTGTGTGTGTGTGTGTGTGTGTGTGTGTGTGTGTGTGTGTATGCATGTTTGTATGTAATATGTATGCATATATGTATGTATATTTAAATATAGATGTATTTATGTACTCATGTCAGGATGTTTGCCAAAGAGAAAGAAAGAAAAAGAAAGGAAGAAGAAATTAATGATTTTTAAGCAAAAAAATTGTAGGAACTTATGTTTGGAAGCAGGCATGTCAGTTATAGGAATAGAAATGTAGATAGATAGGTAGATAGAGATATAACATATATTACATTCACACTTATCTCTCCACATATGATTATACTGAACTATGATTATATACACTTGATATATTTTTTAATAGTTTTTTATTCTTAAGTCAATCTCAGACAATGGGTGACTTTAGCATATATCTTCCCAGACAGTGGGTCACTTTAACATATATTTTCCCAGGTGGTGGATGGCTTTAGCATATATCTTCCCAGACAATTTGTCACTTTAGCATTATATCCCCCCAGGCTGACTTTCCCAGACAACTAGTTTCTTTAACTTCTATTATTCTTGACAGTTCTCGACTTTTAAGCATATCTTCCCAGACAATGGGTGACTTTACAAAGCTGTTATTTTTCAGCGTACATGATGGCCAATGCTGGGTATGATGTGTGGCTGGGCAACGCGCGAGGGAACCGGTATTCTAAGAACCACACCCATTTGTCACCGAAAGATAAACAATTCTGGGACTTCAGGTTTGATACATTAGTTTTGTTCTCTTTATGCGATGATACATAATGTCATTCGAAGAGTATTTTCTTGATTTTTCGAAAAAGTCGTTGTAGATTGGTATATATATATCTTGGTTTCCTGTTGATAATTAGATTTTTTTTTTTTTTTCATTTTCTTTTTCTTTTTCTTTTCTTTTTTCTTTTCTTTTCAAAACAGTGGTTATAGCATAACTTTTTTTTTTTTTTTTTTTTCTTCTTCTTCTTCTTCTTCTTCTTCTTCTTCTTCTTCTTCTTCTTCAAAACAGTGGTTATAGCATAGTATAAATACTGGTTTCCTTTTCATAATCAGATTTTTTTTCTTTCTTTTCTTTTTTCTTTTTCTTTTTTTCTTTTTCTTTTTTTTAGGATTTTTCAAGAGTAATCATATTATAGTAGAGATACTGGCTTCCTTTCCGTAATTAGAAATGAGTTTTCTTTTCCCTTTTCTTCATCTTCTTCCTTTTTTAAGTTTTAGTTATAGTTTCAGTTTCAGTTTCTCTTCAGATTTACAGAATGTCATTGATTCGAATTCATCTGGTTTCATGTTAGTAACAAACCATTTAGTACAAATTAGTGTTACTAATCTATTTTGTTTCATTTTCCACTTTAGTTGGGATGAAATGGCTGAGCATGACATACCTGCTGTGATAGACTACATTTTAGAGGAAACAAAACATTCTCAGCTGTACTATATTGGACACAGTATGGGTATGTGTTTTAGCTGTAATTTCTTGCTCTTTTGTTCTCTCTCTCTCTCTCTCTCTCTCTCTCTCTCTCTTCTCTTCTCTCTTCTCTTCTCTCTCTCTCTCTCTCTGTCTTCTCTCTCTCTCTCTCTCTTCTCTCTTTCTCTCTCTCTCTCTCTCTCTCTCTCTCTCTCTCTCTCTCTCTCTCTCTCTCTCTCTCTCTCTCTCTCTCTCTCTCTCTCTTTCTCTTTCTCTCTCTCTCATCTTCTTTTACCCTCCCTTTCTTACCTTCCTCCCTCCCTCTCTCCCTCTCTCCCTCTTTCTCTAATGGGCAATATTTTTTCTCTCACTTTTTTCTTTAAAGATTTAATGATGTCTTTACCTTGAATGACTTTGATCTGTATTTATCTGTATGTAGATCTAACTGACTAACTTTTCTTTTTATCTACCATGAGTTATAAGGACTACCTGAAATCATTTCACTTTATTTAGTTTTAAGGAAAAGACATTTCTGTGATTTCATATGGTTGTTAGGGTTGTTATTATTGTTAATTGCTTTCCTAAATGCATTTTTATTGCTTGATGTCATTAAATTATCGGTATTAAGTTCATTAAGAAAAAGATCTCCATATTAGAAATTAAGATATTGTATTATCATAAATCTCTCTTCCTTTCTCTTTTCCTCTCTCCCTCTCCTTTTCTAGATCCTTTCCCCTCACTCCCTCCCATTCTCTCCCTGTCACATTATCCTTAATATCAGAAGAAAAGATATTAAAAAAAAGGTCTGATTTGCAGGCACCACCATCTTCTACGGATGCATGTCCAGTCACCCTGAGTATAACAAAAAGATTAAGGCGATGTTTGGGCTTGGACCGGTAGCCACTGTGAAGCATATTATAAGTCCTATCAAGTACCTGGCCCCTTTTGCTAATGATATACATGTGAGTGTCTTTCATCACTTGTCCTTTCAAACACAAAGAGGGCTCTTAATGTATTAGTAGATATCTTTACCCATATATAAGGTTAATGTATAGAATAATTGATTTAGTTAGCTTATTGTGATTTAGTTTTAACCATAGTTATGTCATGATATATATAGACTACAAAACTCTTGTCATTGTTTATTCTCCTTTGTTATTTATTATTGTCATATTCATTATTTATATTTATTCTTGTTTAAGAGCAACTTTTTCTTTAATTTTAGATTTTGTTAAATCTACTTGGTGATTACGAGTTCCTGCCTTACAACCGGAAGTACGTGGAGTGGACGGAATTCTTATGCACTCACTTCAGGTACGAGAAGCTTATGTGCCGGGACGCGCTTTTCTTCCTGTGTGGATTCGATGCTCATCAGTTCAATATGGTGCGTAAAGAGGATTTTGTTTTTTTGGTGATGTATTGCTTAGGTTACTTATAACTGAATAATGGGGTATATTATCAGTGTCTTCTATATGCATGGTATTTGTAATGATGTGTGTGTATACAATTTAAATGATTAATTTTGATACTGTAGTTGTTACAAATGTAGAAACATTTTGGTAAAACCGTATCTGATGCTTAACACTTTGACTAAAAGGAAATAATGGAAGTATTGTATTTAGATATACTGTACAGACTAGAAAAAAAGTAATAATTACTTTTATATCTTTATAGCACATAGGTTGTTCACCTCATGTTAGCAGTGTTTCTCTCATCACTGACTTAATCTGTACAAATTATACTCACCCTCTAGACTTGGCTTCCTGTCATTCTAAGTCATGGAGCCGAGGGAACATCCACAATGACTGTAGTTCATTATGCACAGGAAGTTAACACAGGCAAGTTGAGTTTTGCTCTCTAATGTCTGTTATACTGTGAGAATTAGCAACATAGTTTAGTCCTAAGAGATATAGTTAAATGAAGAATATAATAGTCTTATCTAGTATATGTAAAATTATATAGGCATATAACTGGTAGTATTGAGAAGTACAACTAATAGATTAAATTACTTATGTGTATTCATGTTTAGCATATTGTTGTAAGCTGAAATGCAGTCTCTTTTCAAGACATATGATGATGATAATCCCTTCTTCAAATTTTCTCATGTACATCGGTCACTTACAAGCAAACAAACTTTATGAACTTCAGGGGCATTTGAACACTACGATTTTGGAAAGTCAGAGAACTTGAGGAGGTATCACCAACCAACTCCACCAAAGTACAACCTGAAAAATGTGACGGCACCAGTGGCTCTGATCTGGGCGCAGAACGATTGGCTGGCTGATCCAGAAGTGAGTCCCTTTTGTGTTTTCCTCTACTCGCTGTCTCTTTCTCTTTCAAGTTATTTCTGTGATATGTCAAATTCCTTTTGTTATGATAAAGAAGAGAGAAACTTCGATCATGTTTTGTAATATTAGTTATTATTTTTATTGCTTGTTTCTTAATCATTACAATTGACCAGTAGACTCTTCATTAAGTGGAAAACAAACATAGTATCTTCCTCCTTCTCTCTTTCATTCTTTTTTCAATATTTTCGTTTTCTTTTCTTTTTTCAGGATATTGTGTACCTTGCCTCAGAACTTCCAAATTTGGTCATGAATGTAAAGATGCCGTTGCCCGATTTCAACCACATGGACTTCATCTGGGGAATTGATGCAGATAAACTTGTCTACAAACGAATCCTGAAGTATATGAAATTCTTCTAATCAGAATGAATGTTGAGATATTGGTTTATTGCAATCTATGGTATAGATTGTGTGTAATGCTTCATTCCGTTGATGTATGGCACATTTTTGTGTAGATACATAAAGATTATTATATATTGTATATATGATTTAGGTATCAGTTTACTGTGAAATTGTTATACTTATAACAGTATTACTTTTAGTCCCCATTATTCTAGAATTTCGAATGAGAATAAGCTTACAGAAATATAGGTGTATGCTTTAAGAATACCAGTGGTCACAAAGAAAGGAAAAAATTGTGGAAGTTATTTTGACAATACCAGTGGTTACAACAGACTTTACAAAATTGGTATTTTCTGACAGTTATGACTTCCTAATCTTTTTTACTTTGTTGAAAGTATTTCTGGCAAGAGAATTTTGAAGGAATCATATTATACAGAAATTTCAGTTCATGCTTAAGAGGATGTGAGTAAGACTTCTCTCCCAATGGTTTTTATTTATTAGTATTTTTGAAATCTGTTTTATATTATTTATTATTTCATGAGTACTTTGGTGTTAAGTACTTGAGAAGTTGCTAATAGAAAACAAAAAATAGTCACGAGGTTCTTAAAACCATAGATGCGAATTTATGATTGTATTGGCTGCCAAATGTATGTTTGTGTGATTCGTATAAATATATGGATGTGTATGAGTGTGTATATCTCTCTCTATATCTATATCTGTATCTGTACACATACACACAAAAAAAACACACACACACAAATGCATATACATGCATAAAATCCTGTGTATTTGAATATAACACATACACTTTCTTTGGTTAAAGAATAAATATATATTCTTTCTCTTTCTAGTCTTATCCAAAAGCAGGAATAATTGTAAGCCAGAAATGCCAAATAGTGCCAGATATTGTGTAAAACATATACTTTGTAGTTCAGTGAAATTATACAGAAATCTCTTTGTATGTGCATGGTTCTGAAAGTGTATTTAAAATAAAAGAGTATATGCTTATTGTTCTTGATGTTTCTGTAACCTTACACCCACAGGGCATGCAACAAGTCAATAAGGCAATGACTATTGGATGAGGAAAGGGTTTTCATTACAGAAATAAAAGGGATAAAAAAATAACTTAAAAAATCTTGTCTTTTTATCCTACCTCCCGATGTTTATCCATTATTTATGGAGAATGTTGAAAAGGAAAACTTGGAAGTTCTTTTTAAATTGGTGAAAGTCTTGTCAAGTGTTTGAAAGCAGTGCCTAAAGAATTTAATTATCTGTCCACACACACTACTTGGGTTATTTGTGAAAGATAATGTCTGTGCAAATATAACATTACAGATTTAAAAGAAAAGCAAATGAATTCTTATAATGTTGGCTCTTCAAATTCCCAAGGGGGTGTGCAAGTGCATGCACTGGATATTGCAAGTCCATTTAGACTAGTCTGCAACATGATTATGTAAAATAACACCTTTTCTCTGTGGCACAAGTCAAGATTAACATAGCAGTGTTACTCTTTTTTTATATTTATTACTATTATTTTATGCATTTTTATTACTCCTGACATATCTTTACATATTAATTCCTTACATTGTTTCTAATGTAAAGAGGCCCAGCTCTAGGATAATCATATTTACAGATTTTAAGTTTGAAAATTTCAGGGCTAACTGGATATCTAATCAAGTCCAAACAGACTCGAGTTAATTTTGTTTACACACTGATGGCTTCACAAGCACCTAGTTACTAAAGAGGTAATTACTTATCATACTTCTGTCTCATCTGTTTAAACCTGTTCTTTGAATTTTCAAAAAAAGGAATTTATAAAAATTTCATTAAGATTAGTATTGTTCAAGATGCAGAATAAACTGGTATAAATATATTTAAAAAGATCCCCTTCCATATCTTTCACTATCAAAATAATTTGCACTCTTGCTTGAAATTATTCTTGAGAAAAATAACCAAATAATGTAAAAGGGTTTTGAAAATCATTAATTACTATTTTGATCTTCCTTATGAAGACAAACCCTGTAGAGCCACACCTTACAACCTGAGGCAGAGGTGGCACCTCAGCACATTATAGTGACTTCAAACTGAACAAAAAGAAAGAAAAAAAAAAAAAGGGTTTTAAATTTAGAATCTACAGATAAAAATCGGTATTATGCTTATATCCCAATGTCCCAGTAGTGGAAATGAAGCTAATACAAGCTGAGTAGCAAACTTGGAATTTTATGGTCTTTGTAATATTATTTATCCTTCAAGATGCTGCCTAATCATTGCATTAAAGTAGTGAATAGAAAAAAGACTATCATTTTCCAGAACACTTCTCAAGGACAAATACAAAACCAAAAATGGATGCATTAAACATGTAATTTAACATAGTACATGAATAAATTTCAAGTTCATTAGTCAACAGTCAATTGTATAAATTAATAATGAAAAAGAAACACATAACACATATGTGCATTAGTAATACAAAAGTAAAATAACAGATAAAAAGTGAACATAACTCTTCATCATTAAATTGCAAATGTAGATTCATATTTCATGTAAACAGGTAAGCTCATATATGGTTTTCACAGCCAGCATGCTAACATATACAGTATGTTTGGCTTTACAGAGTGTCAGGATAAGAAGCACATAATACTGTAATTGAGAAGCAAGGGAATGCCAACACAAGTGGATAGATACTCATATAAGGTGACTACTAGAGGGTAGTCCTTCCTGTGAAGCACACATTGTCTTTGGGAAATCACAAGCAATTTCGGTTGAAGCAAAAATATATATATATATATATATAGATAAAATAAAAAGCTTACAGAATGTGTTACACAACACAACAGGAGACAGGGGGTGAATATTTTGACAGCTAGAGAAAGACAAAGGGGGTATATTCTGAGATTCCATAGCCAGAGGGATGCCGTCTCAGGGTTTCACTGTATGGCTTTCCTGTCATGCGTAAATTATGTACTTAGAGGCTTGGATACATGGATTACATATCAATACTCAGATATAGTAGGCAGATCACTATTAAAAAAAAAAATCACATGAATGTCAATTAGAAAGAAAAAAGAGAGAGAGAGAAAAAAAAAAGTTCTTTGGACTAGATTAAATCAACAAAAATTAATTCACTGCTGTAACAATGACTAAATTATTGTTGCGAAAATCAATACATAACGTAAATCGTACATCATATATAATATATATTATACATGTATATATATTTCCAGTAGGTGCTAGTAATGTAAACCTATAATATTTACTTTCTATCCTTTGGAGTTAAGCCTAATCCATCACATTCTATAAATATGCAGTCACTCTCCTTATCCTCTGTGATGGTAAACTTCACCTGTTAGAAAAAAAAAAATAAATAAATAACCAAGTACATACATAAGCAAAGAATAAGATACACCTCAACAGATAAACATTAACATTTTATAACAGGATATAATATGGATATACCATTAATAATAGGATATAATATAGATATACCATTAATAAAAGGATATAAGATGAATATACCATTAATAATAGGATATAAGATGAATATACTATTAATAATAGGATATAATATGGACATATTATTAATAATAGGATATAATATGGATATACTACTCTAATTACCTTTGTCATTAACTCTGCAACATGTATAGCTGTTTTGGTGTGGTCTGTTAAGGGTCCAGTGCGTATAATGGATTTGCCCTTCGCTAAAGCCATGAACAGTATAACCTTGAACAATCGGGAAGTTAAAGTCAATTAGAACAGTATGCTATTCTTTTGATATTCACTTATTCACAATTTGATACATATTTTTCTTCATAAAATTTACCTTCCTATGTTGTTGTTTTTATTTATCTATAATTTTTTTTTTTCTCTCTTTTTTTTTTTATAAATTAATCTTTTTATTCATTTCTTAATCTATTTGTTTATACATTTATCAACTCTGTTCATAACAAATATCTACGTACCTGATCCTGAGAATGGCTATCCAAACAAGCCTTCCTTTTGATGCAATCTAAGATTTCTTTGGCTGCATTCTCCCCATCCTGTTCCGCTGGTTTGCCCTTCTTGCCTAGACTGGAACCACCAAGGATGCAACCACTGGTAGTCTCAGCCCACAAGCTAGAAAGGGAGACAGAACAGAAATTGATTAAAGGCATTGATCTTGTGCAGTATATGTGTACTCTCATCAGAGATAAACAAATTCATCTATTATACTGCAAAATTTAACAAGTTAATTAAATATGGTCTCTAAAAGCATTGTACAAATATCAATCTTACTCTAAACCGAAAATTCTGAATTCATCTATACAACCCTAATTCTGTAATATGACCAATACCAACGATGATGAATTTGTCAAACCAGTCATCTTACACAATGCCAGAGCCACTTCCGACAGCTGTCTCAGGATGTTCTTGGATTCGGTCAACACGAATTTTAACTCCTTGAGGGAGATTCTGATACAGAAGGTTTTCCGCGGCATCTGCCATTTTGTGCGCGACCTAAAAGGAGTTTAGAGTATGTAGGAAACTGGCTACCGTATGTCATACCGGTATCATTATTTACTTTGCATTAACATGGTTGGACTTTCAATATTTTAAAGATTAGTTAAAATAAAGCTTTGTTAGTAAGAAAAGATAATTTGTTGTTCATAAGTTAAAACAAATATCAACATCATTACTGAAAATATCAACATCATTACTGAAAAACTATGAAGATAAGTAATAAATCCTTCCAGTACATTAATAAGGCTATAGCTCCACCCAATCCAGCTCTGTGTGGTAAAAAGCTCCCTTGTTCATCTTTACACATGTCCATCTCTTACAAGGTGAGTGAGCTTCTGCTCTATGACTGATTGTTAAATTAGGTACATTTGAGAATAAAAGATTTTAGATTCATGACATTAATTCAAACAGAATAATGAACAGAGATAGCCATACTTTACACATTTACATTTACACTTCACAAGATTTAGCATGTTAGGTTAAATGCAATATGTTCAGTATAGCAAATAACTCTATATAATAATGTAATTTTAACTCTATACTGAAATGTCACTTTCCATTATTTGTAAACTAGATGAAACAAGTGATTAATTTGGACATGCTGCACTTGACCTATTTTGTACAAAGCTGTAATTTATCCCTTCATATGTGGGAAGTCGGACATGTACATGCATCCAAAATCAAAATGTTTTGCTCCTGGAGTATGCACTCTGTGGAGTGTAACCCACATGAGGGATTAGGTGGGGCCATAGCCTAACAGGCTGAATTGACACCAACCTATTGACCTACATCCAGTTATGAACACCTCTACTCAGGCACTTCTTCCTCTTCAATAATTAGATATTTTAAACTGATTTTATTTTACCTTTGCCTCACACATAGCACACACATAATTAGATAACATATACGCAAGGTATACTAACTCGTATAGGGAGAACTCCCGCCACATAGGCCTTGCCGTAGACAGATATGACTTCACCAAAGTCAGTAAAATCTGCAGCAATCAGACCTTGGCGAGCTGGCTTCACTTCTAAGGATACTTCCCCTCTTCCTTGAGGATAGAAGCCCCTGAAACATGAGTATTATTCCAATATTACTCACAAAAACAGGGGTAAAGACATATATTCATATTTGTTCATAGATATTCAAATATGTTTATATTTGCATTTGAACCAATGTGAATTATAGTTCATACAATATGTCAGCAATTAAATACTACTTACAAGAAAATTGCCATTTTACATAATCAATATTCACATAAATCTAAATTTGTTGCTTAATTCTGATTAGCTGTTCTTACATGATGAAAGGCATTTTACTCAAGGGTGTAAAATTAATGATGCAAAATTTAAGCTCCTCATTATTTACTGAAAAATTTCCTGTCGCATTCAACTTCTAAGGTCATTCGCAATACATTCAAAATATAACAATAGGGTGGGTTTTCCATGTCTCCTAAGCCCCCCACCCCCCCATGACAACAAGGAGCAAGGGATTGGGGAATTAAACTCCTAAGT